CTCTATTGACCCTGTCAAAGGCCTTATTCAAGTCGATAAATGTAGTATATAGGTCTGTATTTTGTTCCTGGCATTTCTCTTGAAGCTGTCTAGCAGCAAACACCATATCGATGGTTCCGCGTTTTTTGCGGAAACCGCATTGACTTTCGGGTAGGAGACCTAGCTCCAGATGTGCATTCAGGCGGTTCAGAAGGGCTCGGGCCAAGATCTTGCCTGCAATGGACAGTAGTGAAATTCCGCGGTGATTGTCGCATGTCTGGTGGTTACCTTTGTGTTTGTACAGGTGGATGATTGAGGCATCCTTGAGGTCTTGTGGTACAGTTTCCGTCCGCCAGATGATTTGGAATAAGCCCAATAGCTTATCCGTCAGCGCTGGTCCACCCTCCTTGTAGATTTCGGCAGGAATCATGTCGGGGCCAGGTACTTTGCCATTGGACATTTGGCGGATCGCTGTCTGTATCTCATCAAAAGTTGGGACGGCGTCCAGTGAATTGTTCGTTGGGACCTGGGGGAGTCTTTCAATGGCCTCATCATTAATGATGGAAGGTGTATTGAGCACACTTTCAAAGTGTTCCGCCCATCTTTCCAAGATTTTCTCTTTGTCTGTAATGAGCGTAGAACCGTCAGCACAAAGGAGAGGGGAAGAGCCTGAGGTGGAGACACCATAGATTTCTCTCAGGCCACGGTAGAAGTTTTTCATGTCTTTCTTGTCTGCAAAGCCCTGTATTTCAACAGCTTTTGAATTCAACCAGGAATCTTAAAAAGTGCGCTACGTGAATACATGTTATATCAAATATCTTTAGTAGATGGAAAGGTCTAGCTTTGCGACCGCCGCTGTTTGTATGTATGCAAGTATGTCTAACAAACCCTAGTACAGTGTTATATAGTTGTTAGCCTTAGGAAAAAAAATCTCCCAAAGCGTCATCTACTCTCATACACGCCACCTCTGAACTTTGACCTCTGAAGGTTAAGTGGTTTCGTCCTTTTCTTTTCAATTGCACTGATTTTAAATGGAACATGCACCAGCAAGAGTAATCAGGACCGGTGCGCTAGCGCAGTAATCATGGTCGATGCACCAGCAGAGTGATCAGGGCCGATGCACCAGCAGAGTAATCAGGTCCGGTGCGCTAGCAGAGTCATCAGAACCGATGCACCAGCAGAGTAATCAGGTCCGGTGCGCTAGCAGAGTAATCAGGACCGATGCACCAGCAGAGTAATCAGGTTCGGTGCGCTAGCAGAGTCATCAGGTCCGGTGCACCAGCAGAGTAATCAGGTCCGGTGCGCTAGCAGAGTCATCAGGACTGGTGCACTAGCAGAGTAATCAGGACCGGTGCACCACCAGAGTGATCAGGGTCAGTTCACTAGGAGAGTAATCAGGATCGGTGCACTAGCAGAGTAATCAGGATCGGTGCACTAGCAGAGTAATTATGGCCGGTGCACCAGCAGAGTGATCAGGACCGGTGCACCAGCAAGAATGATCATGGGCGATGCACCAGCAGAGTGATCAGGACCGGTGCACCAGCAAGAATGATCATGGGCGATACACCAGCAGAGTGATCAGGGCCGATGCACTAGCAGAGTAATCAAGACCGGTGCACTAGCAGAGTGACCAGGACCGGTGCAACAGCAGAGTAATCAGGACTGGTGCCCTAGCAGAATAATCAGGACATGTGCACTAGCACAGTGATCAGGTCCGGTTCACCAGCTGAGTAATCAGGACCGGTGCATCAGCAGAGTAATCAGCACCGGTGCAGACTAACAAGGTGTCTTATTGAACAATTTTCAGTTGAGGCCCATGATGACATCGCGTCTTTTAAAAAAAAAATCTCTTCTTCTTCTTCTCTCTTTCCATCTCACACATTTTCCTATCATATTGCGCTTTCTCTCTCACTGTCTTCTCTCTCTTGCTATATATATATATATATATATGTATATATCGTTCTCTCTCTCCCCTTATCCATATATTTTAGTCCTGTTCTCTATCTCTCTCTCCCTCTCTCCCTCCCTGACACACACACACACAGACACATACAATGGATTCCATAAAAATGAATTCTTCATCACTTCATCGTTAAAAGAAGGTCGAAACTGAGCTGATCTGATCACAAGATATAAGTTTAGTATTGATCACTTTCAACACCAACAATCACTTTTCAACTTGCCAATCTCTGACAGATTCTTTCTGACGGTTTTTTGTTGTTGTTTTTTTTTTTTTTTGGGGGTGGGGG